TACAAGTTTGTGTTTGGAAACTTGCCTGAGTAAGCCTCTTTCTGTCTCTGTCTCTTTGTCTCTCACTTAGGAAATAAATACTAAAAAAAAAAAAAAAAAAAAAGAGGTGCAATGTTGAACAATGCCAACCAAAGATTAGGAAGAAGAAGGAGAGGATAGAATGATCCTTAACAGAAACAAAATTACAGATAAATAAGAGGAACAATTCTATCATAAAATACAGTAGGTTTAGTGTAGTTCATTATAATCTACTATGTATTTCAGAGTCACTAGAGAGGATAATTTGTAATGTTTCTAAAACACAGTGATCAGAAATTTTTGAGATAATAGATATACTATTGATAATTACCCTGATTTGATCATTACCCATTGCATTATTATACTAAAGAATCACACTGTATCCCACAAATATCTACAATTATTACATATGAGAAAAAATAAAGTAAAATTAGGGTCTCAAAATATTGGAAGTAAAATATGAAATAATTAAAAACACTATTTTACAACCATTGTAGTTTTTTTTTTTTTAATTTTTAATAATAGGGCATGTTCACTCCATAGAAACAGAGAAAGAGAAAGTGAGAAAACACCCTTCAGGGGAAAGTCCACTCTATAATCCCTTCTCCTCTTGGGATTTTGGGCACGTATGCACACACATCTGGTGTGTTTTTCAAACTACTGTGTCTGGAACCAGAACAACGCAGCTGGCCATATGGGATCCAGCAACTTTAACCACAAAGCCACCGAATGGCCCCACTCGATAACTAATGGAATATTACAAAATTTAGAAGTTGACATGAATGTTTTGAATCTTTTTCTTAACAATGGCTTCACTATATATTTCACTATGTATGTGTGTGTGTATATGTATATATATACATCTATATCTATATATATCTTTCAAAAACTTAGAATTTTAAAACTCATAAAATACATTTTAAAGGATGTATTTTATTTCAATAAAATTATGTCTCATAGTGTTGATATTATGATACTGAAAATAATAATGATATTGAGATATAAACAAATATACATTTAACAGTAACTAAAATATATTAATATGGGCCAGAAGCAATAGCAACATTTAATTAAACACTAATGCTTAAAATAAAAACTAAATGCAGACAGGTATATTACAACATACCATTAGCTCTTCAAATTTGTTTCAAATACTTGCTGTCCAATACAGCAAAAGTTAATTTTAGTTTTTCCATCCACTCTCAGTACTGGACAAGGTCACACACTATGTACTATTAACTAATGCCTATGTTCTTAGACACTACCAGATGGCAAACTTTAATCTAAAACAGGGATGAGCATTGAAGATTTAAGAATTATATTTAGAAAATTTTTGCCAGGGACCAGCCTCAGCGTGGGTGGGTTATCTCGACGGAGGCGGCGAAGGTGAACAGAGGACATAGGCCTAGATGCCTTTTCATGCACGTCCTTTGCCGGACACCCCTCAGAGATCGCTCTCTGAGGAGTGACAACTGCTAGGAATCATCGTGCCTTTTTATTGAAAGTGTGATACATGCAAGTAAATGGGTGAGGGGCAGTAAAAGATATACTCCAAGGAACAGGGTATACAAAGCATGGAAGCAATAATTATAAAACATGCTGTTTGTCTTGTCAGATTAGGTAAAATCAATCACAGATTTTAGGATGAGGAAGTCTGTTTGTCTGTTGTATCTTCTTCTTAGATCTTAATTACTGGGAAGGGTCTTTTGAAGAGGGGGCTTGCAGGATGTTTGATAACTTCAGTCCCAGGCCAGGGCGATAACATTGCTGGTTGCAAAGACCTAGATAGAAATCTTGTCTTGTTAAGTAAAGACACAGTTAATATATGGACTATCTATACATTACAACAATAGAGGGTGAATCTATGATCTTATATGGGAAAGGAAGATGATCTTATAGCTCAGGAGACAACACAAGATGTTTTATTAGCAGTTTTTCATGGTCAACAGCACATAGATGAGAAACTCTTTGTAGTTGAAAGCTACCTGTTGCTTTAGATAAGAGCTCCCAGTTAAGGTGGTTAATCTTTCTCTGGAGCCCTCAGGTTTGTTCATCCTCAAGGGGTATGTACGTAAAACTAGCCTTAAACTAACTTAGTTTTTATATGCTACTGATGCTACTTTGGCTTATACTATTTTGACCTAACCTATGTTAATTTTGGCTTAGAGGGACAAGTGGGGGAGTCTCAAACTTCCCACCCTCTTCTTAGGGAACACATTCCTACAAGATCACTAATTGGCTTTATTGTAATGGTTGGGGGTTATATTTTACCCTTGCAGGGTACTGTAATAACAGTAAAACTCATGGCAGAGAAATTATAGGCCAGTAAAATGACACAAGGAGAGTTAGTAAACCACTGGCCTTGTCTTGCCGTTTCTTCCCAGCCCAGGCCATGGGAGACAGCCTCTTTACCAGCTTGTGTTGTCTGCATGGCCCCATCAAATTTTTGTCATGTAAACTGATATAAAATAAATAGATGAGAAGTCTGAATTTTAGAAAAATTTTTATTTCCAAAAAATAATAATTAAAATATTTTTTGATCTTTGGTTTGTAAATTAAGATCTTCTCTATGCTTGCTCCACAAATAAATAAGTTATAAAAATTGGATTCCTGGACCAGCACATGGCATAATAGTTACATCGCTGGACTCCCATGTAGTCAACCATGGTTCGAGTCCTATACCTGGTGACTTAAACTTGCAGAGGAACATGCGCATATATGCCCAAGATCCCAAAAGGAGAATAGAGGAGAAGGGATTGTAGCATGATCATCTCTCCAGGGGGTGATTTCTCTCTCTCTGTCTCTCTCTGTCTTTCTGTCTAGCACATGTACCTTTGGCAAAAATCTTAAAAAAAAAAAAAAAAAAAGTTGGATTTCCAAAATCCCTACTTGTTCAAGTTTCTTTTAGTTTTGATCTTGAAAAACTACCATAATGTGTATGGTGGAGTCAGGAGTCAGAGGAAATTTATAGCAAAAGAATTCCATTGTACCCAAGAAATACCCCCCAGCAGGGGATGGCCATGTTGCATTCTCTTCTCCTCCATTCTCCTCTTGGGATCTTGGGCAATGCATGCACGTGCCTGGCGTGAGTTTAAGCCACCAGGTCCAGGACTCGAACCATGGTGGACTACATGGAAGTTCAGCGACATAGCCATTACGCTACTTGCTGGTCGCAGACACCCCCATGTATTTTTTTCCCTGGCAATTTTTCCTTTTCTAAAATTTGCTATGTAGCAGTCACCATCCCAAGAATGCTTGTGGACCTTTGGACTCAGAAAGGACATGTTTCTTTCTTTGCCTGTGCTACACAGTTTTTCCCCCTTATATTTTGAGGCACAGAGTGCCTTCTCCTGACAGTGATGGCCTATGATCGCTACATGGCCATTTGTAACCCTCTCCATTATTCTCTAGTGATGAAGCACAAGGTCTACATCCACTTGGTGGTTGCCTCCTTGATTAGTGGAATTCCAGCTGTAATTGGGCAAACATACCAAATATTTGCTTTAGAATTCAGCGGACCTTACACAATTAACCACTTCTGTGATGTTCCCTCAATACTCAAGCTTGCTTGTGGGGACACATTTGTGAATGAGATAGCAATTTTTGTAGATGCTGTGCTATTTCTCATGGTGCCATTATTGTTGATTATTGCTTCCTATGGTAAAATTATCTCCATCCCGAAATTGTTATCAGCCAAAGGGAGGTCTAAAGCCTTCTCCACCTGTTCTTCTCACCTGACAGTTGTAGTGTTATTCTATTGAACTGCTAATATTGCTTATTTACAACCCAAAACAAAACAATCTGAAGGAATGGGTAGACTAATTTCTCTCTTCTATACTGTTTTTAGCCCAATATTGAATCCCATGATATATACTCTGAGGAATGAAGATGTCAGGATAGCATTGAGAAAATTACTACCCAAATATTGACATGAGTAAAACACTTGCAAATACTGAAATAATTTTACCTGCTTCTATACATACAATAAAAAAGTTATTTTTTCTTAGTTCCTAGATAATAATATAATTATTTGCATGGATCACCTGACATTTTATCTAAGAACCTTTGTATTATAGAGTTAATGGGGGTCACTTTTTGTAATCAAAGTTTAAGTGAAATTGATTGCAATAATCCAAATCGGAAATTAATCTCTTTCGTCATGGTGAACTAGTGAGTTAGTAGGGTATCTGAACAATATAATGTAAGATAATCAAGTGTGTTTTATAAGCAGATATTAGGGTCATGCTTTGTGATTAATTTTCTTTTTTTTTTCATTTCTTTAGATGCATTTTATCACCTTTTATAGCACTGTGGTAAGATTAAGTTAGAAATCCATCAGTAGCAAAGTTGGTAGAAGTGAAGAAAACTTTGGATTCTCTTTACATTTCCCCCTGATTCTATTCTTGTACATGTCCTCCATGGCTATAAATTCTGGTGTGGTTCATTTCTCTATTATCACTGATCTCACTTTTATCAGATAAAATAATTTTTCCCCTTGTGGACTCAGGTGTGTCTTTGGCAATACCTACCTAAAATTCTGTTTTTCAAAAAAGCACAACCCAAACCAATGGACTGTGCTTTAATACAATGTTCTCTGGGGCCAGAGGTGGCATGGTGCATAAAGCACTGAAATCCTCCATGGCTGACTTCATTTTCAGTCCCAGACCTGACTTCCTTTCTTTCTGCCATATATGTGCTATAGCAAATTAAAATAATAATAATAATAGCATAATTAAATAAATAATTATTAGCAAAAAATGTCCCCTAAAATGTTAAGGGAACCTGCATATGTAACCTAATACTAAAATACGAATGTTTACAAGTATAATTGTGTAATTAAATTGAGAATTTGGCAAAGAGCTTATCCTGAATCAGATCGGGCTCTAAATCCAATGATAAATGTCCTTAGAAGAGGCAGATATGTTGGGGAAACTTAGACAACAGACAGACACAAAGGTGAAAGTCATGAAGATACTGGAGTTATGCAGCCAGAACCAAAGGAATTTCAGGTGCCACTGGAAGATACAAGAAATTATTTTATACTTGAACATTTGGTAACAGTGAGGCCTTGGTAAGAGCAAGATTTCAGTCTCTAGCTTCCAGACCCTAAAAGAATAAATTTTTATTGTATTAAACTGATATTTGCTACAGTAATCCTGGGAACCTAATATGTCATGTAAGGCATATGAAGGCGATTTATGGGAATTTAAATCATCTGGAATGAATTCTGCATTTTTTTCATTCCCCAACTTGTATGCTACTTACTTTCTTCTGTCATTATATACTTTTTAAACAATCATTTGTCATTTTTCCTTTCAAAATAAATCAAGATACTGTATTAGAGACTGAATCAAAAGAATATCAACTTGTAGAAATAAAAATGCTTGTATAAGAATGATTATTACAGATACATGTTTGAGAATGTTTACTCAATGTATTTTATAGTGCAACAAATATTAGGAGCAAAGGGTTCTCTCAGGGCCTAGTCACTGACGTAGGTCTACACTACACATACACACAGCTATTCAAGACAATGTTTAAGAGCAGCTGCACTGAAAAAATGCCAAGAATTTTCTGACATGTAGAGATGAATGAAAATTTATAAGTCATAGCACTATTTTTAGTACAACAGAGAAAGACAATGTATCCTTTTATATAAAATTTTACACATGCTGGACTATAATGGATGTGTATGCATGTTAGCAGTGTCTTGAAAAATGCAAATTCCAAAGGAATCAATAATCACTGAGTCATTGAGTTTAAAATCATTTCAGTTTTATACTTTAAATCTCTGTATAGATTGAATTTACCGAAATGAGAACATGATGTGCACATTCCAAATATTAATATGGCTTTATTAATAAAATCATAGTACAACGAAAAAATTTCTTATCCATTATTATTGTATCTAAAATGTCTTAAAGAATAATTAGACATCTATTTTTAAAAAGCCAAAGCATCTTTGATTTATGAAAAAAATCATTTATGATATAAAAGGAATCAGAATATGTATTATTTACCATAATTTCTTTAAAATAACTAAAAGGCAACAACTTCAAATCCAGAGATGAAGAAATTTAGCACACTATGTTTAGATATAGTTACAAATAAAAGACTATCAGTCATTACAGAATGGTAAAAAGTGAACCAAATGAAAACTAGGAGAAAAATGCCAAAACATATTTAATTAATGAAGAAATCTTGGTATTTGAAACACAAAAAGATGGAAGCATATGTGATTATCAAAGACCATGCAAATGTATACTTGAACACTGAACATATAACTTTTTCTCAGTATCACAACCTATAATAAAAATATGTTCATGTATTTTTGTAATAATAATTTAAATAAGTTGTAAAACTATAAAAGTAAAAATGTAGCAAAATTTTTAACACTGAAAAATTGTTAAAAAATGTTGGCAATTAATTTACTTACATAGGCCGAAGTGAAATAATAAAATAATATAAAAATATAAATACATTCAAACATAGTATTGATATGGTAGGTATCCATCTTTTTTTTTTTTTTTGACATTGCATGGAATCATTTCAATTAGAGAAAAAGGTATATATGAGTATTTCCAAATAATTGGTCAAAGAAATATTAAATGTTTTATTAGACCTGATAGAAAATAATAACAATTGCACTGCTTTCTCTAGTTTGCTTATTTGGAGGCATTCAACAGACTCTATAGAGTATACTCACACAAGACTTTCGCTTAAAGGAAATTAATATGTTGTAGGGAGAAAAAAAAAATTCTGGAAAGCATTGGCGATCTCAGAGGCACTCGGTAATCAGAAATCTTCACAGCCCTTTTTATCTTCATACCTTCTGCACTCTTGCTTGAAATAAAATTAATGTGCAATGAATCTCAGCTTTCAGAGTTTAGAGAGTAGGAGAAGTTCAGTTGGAGTATTCTTTTTCTTGTCATATAATAATAGAAATTTGTCATCTCAATTTCCATAGGTCAGAAGATAGGCACAACATGGGTGGTTTTTTCTACTTATTGGTTCAAATCTAAAATCAAGAGATTTCATAGGTAGAGTTCTTGAATGAAAAATCTTGATCCTAAGTCCTGTTAGACTGTCAATGAAATTCCATTTCTTTCAGTTGCAGGTTGTGGGGGAGTTTCCCCCAGGATATCAGCCAGGGCCACCCTCATGTCCCAGAAAATAATAGGATCCAAGCCATGTACCCCATTCCATCCCCCTCATGTTGAATTCCTAATTTACTATCTATGATGACTAAAAGAAAATTTAAAGGACTCATATAATTAGATCTGACCCACCTGAACAATGTTTCTAATTTAGAGTCAATTGATAAGGGAAAGTAATTATATCTGTGAAATCTCTTCACATCAACTCCTACCTTGTATGAATAGCTGGGAGATGATAGGAGTACATAAAGGCATATAGATCTTGGTGACCATCATAGAATTCTACCTATCACAGCTAAAAAATAAATGCAAAACTCAGCAAAGGATGGTATAAATGCAAAAACAAAAATTGAATACAATATTACAAAATTGAATCAGTAAAATTTGGTATAAGAGGTCTGTGAACCCAGAACGGAGTAACCTATAGTAGATTCTATTATAGAGGATAAAGTGAGTGTGTAAATACTGGAAATAAGAGAGAAACATGAGGCAATTTTTAATTATAGGAGATTTTTATATAATATTGCTTACTTTATAAATACAAAAATAAGGATTCATCTCACTCCCTGGGAGACTCAGGTGTAGTTTCAACAGAACTCCTTTTGTGAGTGCACCCCAAGGCCTCAGGAGTAATTTTGGAACTTTTGCCACTCCATCATCCAGTGCTCTAGTGGCATGGGCTCACTCCAAACACCAAGACAGTTGGGACTGGTCTCAGAAGGCTTCCTCTTATGAGTGCATCCTGAGGCCCCAGGAGTAATGTTGAAACTTTTGGCACACCAGTTTGTATGCAGTGCACAACTTGATCTTTTTCACTAAGTTATATCTCCTTAGTTTGCTACTGCCTCATCAAGAGCTGAAAATTTGATAGAGGAGTCAAGCACCTGAAGTTACCATAACTGTTCTGCTCTCGGAGACACATCCCTCCAATAGGAACATGCCTGGGAACTAAACGTGAAATTTCCTCTTTAAATACTACAGAATCTACTCCAATAGGAAAGAGGGGAAAACTGAATCAGACTACCAAAAACTGACTGAATCAGACTACCAAAAACTGACTCAGATTCCAAAGAAACATGGAAAAAAAATAGGGGGTAACTCTCCCCAAGGTGAGCACAGTAACCCCTCACCAACAATGTACATCACAGAGGAATACACAGAAATGTCAGAAAAATCATTACAAATATTCAGTGACAAAATTCAGTGAGATACAAGAGAAAACAGGCAATCAATTCCCGGAAATGATAAAATCTTTCCAGGACATGAAGAGGAACTTCATAAAGAAATAGACACCCTAAAAAGGAAATGAACAGAACTTCTGGAAATGAAGAATACAATACAAAAAATTAAAATATCTCTAGTAAGCAATAACAGCATATCAGACCATCCAGAAGGAAGAATTTCTGCCCTGGAAGGCCAAGTCTCCAATTTAGACCAAGCCACTGAAAAGAATGAGAAACAACCGAAACAAAATAATAAATGGGAACAACATATGGGAAATTCTAGATGCCACTAAATGCCCAAATATCCATATAATAGGTATTCCAAAAGGTAAAGAATCTTCTAAAGGCATGGAAAACCTCTCATGAAATACTGTCTGAATTTTTTTGGAGAGATTGAGAAACATGGAGAAATTCAGACCCCCCAAATGAAAGGGCCCCAAATAAATCAACACAGAAAGATCCTACCACCCCCAGCACATCATCACAAGATTGACAAAAATAAAAGACAACAACAATATTCTAAAAACGGCAAGGGAGAAACATCATGTTACTTATAAAGATTATCCCATTAGGCTAATATCAGGCCACTCAATTGAAACAATGATTGAAACAATGCAGGCAAGGAAAGAATTGAAAGATATATTCAAAACATTAAAAGAAAAACAATTTCAACCAAGAATACTATATCCAGCAAGATTATCCTTCAAATGAGAAAAACAAATGAAAGTATTCTCAGATAAAAAAAAAAAAAAAAAAAAAAACAACTAAAAGTGTCCATCAATCCTAAATCAGCTCTGCAAAAAGTACTGAGGGGAATATTGTATCTGTATAACAAAAGAGAGACAAAGAGAAATAAGAGAAGAAAAACCAACTGAGAAAATGGCTAATGAAATGACAGGAATAAGTCTGCAAATATCGATAATAACTTTAAATGTCATTGGATTAAATTTCCTCATTAAAAGATACAGATTAGTGAATGGATATAAAACAGAAGTCATCTATATGCTATTCACAACAAACACACCTCACTGATAAAGATGTAGATAGACTGAAAGTGAAGAACTGGGAAAAGATATTCCATGCAAATGGAAATGAAAGAACAGTTGGATTTGCAAAATAGACTTTAAAATTAAAGATGTAAGAAGAGACAAAGGACATTATACAATACTAAATTGACTTTTTTCCAAGAAGATATAACACTTGTAAATACCTATGCATCCAACAGTGGAGCACCTAACTACATTAGAGAGAGACTGTTAAATCTCAAGGGAGAGATAGACTGTAACACAATAATCATATGCTATATCAACACCCACTCTCTCCTCTGCATTGATCATTTAGACAAAAAATTAACAAAGACAGACAATATCTAATTGAGAACATACATGAAATGGACTTGACAGGCATCTACAGACTATTCGATTTAACAACCGCAAAATACACATTTTTCTCACCCTCACATCAAACATTTCAAAGAGGACTGCATGATAGGGCACAAAACAATCCTTTACAAATTAAAATATATAGAAACTGTATCTAGCATCTTTTCCAAGCACAATGGAATCAAACTTGATATCAACTACAGAAAGAGCCCTCAAATATACAGCAAACATGTGGAAAATAAACAAACTACAGAAGAAATTAAGACTGAAATCAAAAGGTTCAGAGAAATCAATGAAAATGAACAAAGAAGTGTTTATAACTTAGGGGACACAGCAAAAGTAGTTACAAAAATGAAATTCATAGCAATTACTGCCTGCAAGAAAAAAGCAGAAAGGTGGCAAAAAAAACAAACAAACAAACAAAAAAAAAACCTAACAATACAACTTAAGGAACTGGGAAAACCAAAAGAATAAAAAAACTTTAAGGAGAAAACAAATAATAAAGATTTGAGCATAAATAAATTAAATAGAGACAAAATGAAACATACAGAAAATAAATAAAACCAAATATTGGTTCTTTGGGAAGATAAAACAAATTGACACATCATTAGCTAGAGTAGTCAAGAAGAACAGAGAAAGAAAACAGATAAATCAGCAAAGGAATGAGCATTATTACAGTGGACAAAACAAATACAAAATATCATCAGAGAATACTATGAGTGATTATATTCCAACAAACAAGAAAACCTAGAAAAGGTGGGTAAATTTCTCACTTTACCTCTTACTGTCTCTGTCTATCTTTCCTGTGAGTGCATGTGCTCCAAAACAAAAACCTTCTAAAAACTTTTTCTGAAACAATGGAAGTTCATCTTTTAAGAGCACAGATGTTGGACTGGGAACACAACCATATAATACCAGCCACTATAAAAGATTTTCAGAGAACTAAAGGATATCATGTGTAGAGAATTAAAGGATGATCTGATGACCACATTTCATAACGTGAAGACTATCAATAAGAATTACACATTAAAAACATTTATGATATTAAGAAATAAAATGAAGTTTATAAAAATGATAGCTAGTCATTTGTAGATTTTAACTGGCAGGAGGTAGTATCAGTGAACACAGCAATAGGCCAATAAAGATTGTGCAATTTGAAGATAAGAAGGAAGAATGAAAAATCTAAACAGAGACTCTGAGAAATGTAGATCACCATGGAGCACACCAAATGCATCTACTGGAAATTCAAGAAATGGAAAGAGAGAAAGGAGCATAAAAATTTTAGAAAAATGTCCAAAATTTGATGAAAAATACTAATCTACAAGTTCAGAAAAGTGCAAATAATATAAATGTTAATGGGCCAAGACTGCAAGTGTTGAAAAGGAAACTAATGAACAAAATTTTGAGAGTAGCAAGAAAAGGACCAAGAAAAGACAGATTTTTATGCACAGGACTCCAGTAACATAACAGTTGACATCTCATTAGAAACTATGGAGACCAGGGTCACTGGACTCCCACATGGTTGACTGCAGTTAAATCTCAGACCTAGTGTCTTGAAAATCTTGCTGGGCATGTGTGCATGCATGCACAAGATCCCAGGAGGAGAATGGAGGAGAAGGGATTACAACATGGCCATGCCCCCTGGGGGGTGGTGTGTTATTTAGTTTACACATTAAAGAGAAATTGCCCAATGTTCTTTTCATTGTTGATGTCTAATTCCATTACATTTTGATTAGAATAGAAACTTTCTCAGTTTGCATTGTTGTTTCTTTATATGTGAACTCAGATTATCATTTAGCATCATTAGTTTATTTCTGAAGAACTCCAACTAATATTTACTCTTAAGAAGACCAGGTACCCAGACATTCTCTCAAGTTATGTTTACTACATTTGATTTTTTATTTTCTCTCTGTGGACTTACATTTCTTGATTGCATATTCCTCTTTTACAGTTGGAATGGTACATGGGTTTTCGTCTTTACACTTCCTGAGTTTCTTTTTGATACTTAAGTAATCTGTCATCCCAGATTTGGTATGAAACCAGGAACAATGAACTCATCTACACAAAAACAAAAGCAAAAAGAAAAGAAAAGAAAAGAAAAGAAAAGAAAAATTTAATCAATAAAATACTTTAAAATGATTTATTTTAGACTCACAACAAGATACACATAGGTATACATTTTTCATTCAATTTATGACATGTGAACACACAATGCAAATAAGCTTTCTTCTAGTGTATTATAGAATTATTACCACTCATATTTTCCCTGAAGGATTTGCTTAACTTTCTTTTTTTTATTTTTTAATTTTTATTTACATTTTTTAATACATTCAATTACATTATTTAGCTTACAAGGTGATCATTTCAATACATGAACATTTCTCCCCGGTCTAGTTGATCAAAATATAGCAACACTACCTCCCTGTCTCAACAATGCTGTCTTCGTATCCCTCCTTCAAATGTTCTTCCCCAGGCCCCACTCCTCCACACACACCACATCTGGCATTCATATCCACCTCTTCTGTTTGTACATCCTTTAACCCGTAAGTTTCAGTTATAGAGTGCGGACATTCGGTATATATTAAGTGGGGACATACAGTGTCTCTCCTTTATAGCCTGGCTTGCTTCACTCAGCAATAAATCTTCCATATTCTTCCACTTTCTGTCAACAGTCAGGGTTTTGTTGTTCTTAATGGCTGAATAGTATTCCATAGAGTATATGTGCCACAGTTTTTCAATCCATTCATCCATACGGGGGAATTTGGGTTGATTCCATGTCTTACATTGATGTGCAAGCACTTTTCCAATGAGAAATTCTTCTGTCCTTTGGGTAAATGCCAAGAAATGGGATTGCTGGATCATACGGCAGTTCTATTTGTAGATTTTTGAGGAATCTCCAAATTATTCTCCACAGTGGTTGGACTAATTTACACTCCCACCAGCAGTGTAAGAGAGTTCCCCTTTCA